ATAAGAAAAAAGTTATTATGCACCTCACACACACACACACACACACACACACACACACACACACACACACACATATAGACAAGGAAACAATGATACATTATAGCAACTTAAAAACTTAACCATGTATAAGATTTGAACATTTAGGATTTTGCCGACTTCAGATAATACATGTTGAAACATTAATACATGTATATTAATACAGCCAAGTATGCAGCATTTTACTGTACATTGATTTTGAACATTTACTGCCTGTCTCATACATATTATGCTGAAGGACGACAGCAAAACCTGGACCGTTTTCTCAGTGATTCCCAGAAATAATATTTTCCAACTATTTTATAGGACTGTATGGTCTACAGTGACTTAGTAGGAGGCACAAGGGTGAGTTCAATTGTCCACAAAGGTTCACTGCTTCAGAGCAAACACTCTAATCAAGTTAAATATACATCCAATTTATTTTTCATTTAAACAAAATATGCAAAGCCAAATAATTTAAACTTGTACAAAGCAGTATCTTTATTTTATATGTACTGACATTAATTGCAGTTGTAGCCACACTCTTCTTGAATGAAAAGGAAAGGTCTGCTGTAGCAGTACTTCAGCATGGCTGGCTGTGGTTATATTTAGTGATAGTGAGCTCTTTCTCAACAGCTGTGGTATCAATAACTGCACCGGTCTTGCGCAACATACCCATATCTCCGTCTCCCCATGGCACATCCAACCACCGCTAGATATACAGTGTACTGTAACACATTTATATGTGTATCTTAAAGGCCCCCTATTATCCTGTTTTTCATATATATACAAACCATGTCTCTAAAATGTTTGGCTGAAACTCCAAACAGATCATTGCAGCATTACCCATAATCCCCTCTGTTTCCGCCCTGTTTCCAAAGTGCTGATTCTGTCTGTTACTTCAGATGAAAATGAGGAGCCCCTCCCCACGCCCCTCTGGGAGAGATTTGGTTACAAAGAACTCAATGGTGCTCTAGGTGTATGTGTGTGTGTGGGGGGGGGGGTTACCTTGGTTGCTGATTGGCTAATGATTACTCAAGCCAAAACATCGTTATGACATCATAAAGTGGCCAAAATCTGATCAGCTCATTTTCAGACAGGATTTTATATTGGATCAGGACAAAAAGAGAGAGAATCTTTGTTCCTGAAACTTTCAGAGTCTANGTGCGCAAAGCATTGTGGGGATTTGAAGGACGCGAAGTCTACCCATGTGCAGCCTCGAAATTTCCCCCAAACCAAGGACGCGGCCTCGGTGGAATTCCAAATATGCTGGAGATTGGAACAGTCCTTCGGCGGCACACGATGACGTAGCATCCTTGAAATATTGGCTTGGAAGCCAGTATCCTCGAGATTGAGAAACGGCCAGTATGTGTAAAAAAGCAGGAAATAAAAAGGAACTCCCCTTGTAGTAAACCATTTAAGCTCCATATTGTTTCAGAAATAATCCTCGATGTGGTTTGTAAAGCGAAGGACCCAGAATCAGCCCTTCTCTAACAGGGCTGAAATAGAGGGATATGAGGGATGTCTAAAATGCATGATCTTTTTGGTATTTTGAGCAAAACACTTCACAGACATGTTTTTTATATATTTGTATATATCTGAGACCTATAATAAATGCCTGAAAATAGTATAATAGGAGAAGTTTAAACCCTACATGTGGTGTTGGGACAGGAAGCAGAGGGAGTCCTGGTGGTCTCAGCCTTATCAGCCGAACGCCTGCATACACACCTGTAAGTTCATTTCACTTTCAGCACACTTTAAATCCAAGTTTCTCAGCCTCTGTTCAAACCTTTCATTGTGTTTTACTCCATGCTTCCTGAAGTGAGCACTGTAGAGGAAGGTGAGCAGATTGCACCTGCAGCTTTAGAAGAAAAAAGATGTTAATGTGTTGTAACAACTCCTTTTGTCCCCCACAGAGGAAGACATGATGGCCATCGATGACAAATGTGTAGAAGCAGGTAAAGCTCCACCTGAGATGTATTCTTGTTTTAATTCCTACACACACATATGATTAATTTCCCTCTGTGTGTTATTTGGATTGCATCAGACGAGGAGGCATTTGAATCTGGTAGGTAAGTTTATTTAATTTCAACTGGTTTAGACTCTGAATTCTGAATAACTCTTCCTCGTGTCCTTCATCTGAGACATTCGTTATCGTTTATTTTTTATTCTCCTGCTGCTGTCTGACGGGGAAATGTCAGAAGAGCTCAGAGAAGGTGAGAAAACATAGTTTCAGTTGATCTGAATAGACTCACTACTTACTTAGAGAAAAAGAAATACATGCCATTGGTGCATTGCATTGTGGGAATTGTAGGACCTAGACTTTTTTTTTTCTTGACCCACAAAAGACATTAAAAGCAGTCTGAACCTTAACCCTTTAACCTTTCATTTGTTAAAGCCCCCCAGCTTACGGGAAGTTCTGCATTTATTTCAGTTTGTTTGACCCTCCCTCACCTTCATTTTGCATTCATGTGTTCTGTCTGCTTGTTCCAGAGGAGGATGATTTCAGCAGCAGCACTGACTTAGGTAAGTCTGAACTCTCTTTACGATGTTCTATCAAAGAGTTTGCATGAACCTATCCCAGACCATTCCTCACTAACATCACCTTTCCTTTCTCTGCCAGTGGGCTTCAGGCGTAGCATGCGTCTGTGTCGGAGGCGGAGTCACAGCACCGCCCAGCCGTCCTGCCCCCCCCGCTGCCCCAACAGCTGCTGCAGCGCCATCGGCAGCCCGTACGAGGAGGTGGTGCGCTACCAACGCCACCCGCAGGACGCACACCGCCTCATCACACTCTTAGGTACAATATAAAGGTTTAGTGTGGCACTTTTCTGCATTCAAATGTCTTCGAACGAGAGACCTGTGTCATATTTTAAAGGTCACCTATTATGCAAATCCACTTTTCATGTCTTTTATACATCAACATGTGTCCCCTCTTCTTCATGTCTCTTCTACATCAACATGTGTCCCCTCTTCTTCATGTCTCTTCTACATCAACATGTGTCCCCTCTTCTTCATGTCTCTTATACATCAACATGTGTCCCCTCTTCTTCATGTCTCTTCTACATCAACATGTGTCCCCTCTTCTTCATGTCTCTTCTACATCAACATGTGTCCCCTCTTCTTCATGTCTCTTCTACATCAACATGTGTCCCCTCTTCTTCATGTCTCTTCTACATCAACATGTGTCCCCTCTTCTTCATGTCTCTTCTACATCAACATGTGTCCCCTCTTCTTCATGTCTCTTCTACATCAACATGTGTCCCCTCTGTGGAAATAGACTCTGAAAGTTTCAGGAACAAAGATTCTCTCTCTTTTTGTCCTGATCCATTTATATAAAAACCTGTCTGAAAATGAGCTGATCAGATTTTGGCCACTTTATGATGTCATAACGATGTTTTGGCTTGAGTAATCATTAGCCAATCAGCCAACCAAGGTAACCCCCCCCCCCGCCCCTGAGACAAACACTTCAGAGACATGTTCTGTATATATCTGAGACCTATAATANGGTAGCAAGTTTGAGTCCCACTGCAGTCAGCATGTCGTTGTGTCCCTGAGACACTTCACCCCAAATTTTCAAAGAGACTTACATACTCCATACTGTGGACAATTTGGGGTGAAGTGTCTCAGGGACACAACGACATGCTGACTGCAGTGGGACTCAAACTTGCTACCCCCTGATTCGAAGTCCAGCACTCTATCCACTTAGCCACAGCCGCCCATCATCATTTTAGACTGAAATATGTCAACATTTACGAGTTGGATTGTCGCCAAATTTGGCAGAACCAATAATTGATGGGGGAAGATGAATTGTTGTGAATTTGCTGATCCATTGACTTTTCAACTGGTGTCATCGTCAGGTTAACATATTTACTAGTCCAATATTATACCAAATTACTGCACAACCAAAGACATTCCTCAGCTGTACTTTGTTAATGTAGCTAATGTTAGCATGCTAACACTCTAAACTAAGATGCTTAACATACTTGCTAATGTAAGGTATTTTAGCTCTGAGCTCAGGATTAGCTGAAAATAGTCCTGGAAGCTTATTTACAAGTTAACAGCATTTAATAAAACAATGACACAATGAAATTGCAAATGCGACAGCTCTTCTGTCCACTCCCATGGGATGAGAAAGAGACAGACTTCCTGCTTGTGTCACATATTTATCATCTGAAGTCTTCTCCCATTGGCTTAGAGTCAACGGGTGCGAGTCCAAGTCACGTCCTGCCTGTCTTCATTCCCTGTTGTTAGTTTTACAATCTTCTAATGTTTATTGGTCATTTAACCATTCCCTAATAATAGTATTGCAGCGTCAATAAGTGAGGGTTAAAGACAGTGTGTTTAGTATGCAACACGTGTAAGTTCTCCTTATATTCACGTACAAAACATATTATTAGCTACATGCTAAAGCTAACAAAACCGTCTGAACAGACAGGAAGTCGAGTGTGTCGACAATGTTGTGTACATCCGGTTACAGAATAAAACTGTTATTAATTTTACGTTACGCCACATATGGGCTATATAGATTTTTTTTTCCTTAACGTTAGCATGTTAGCATTGCCAATGTGAGTATTTAGACATGCTATGCTTATGTAGCTGCAGCCACACTTGGCTGTAGACTTTTAATGATATGTTAAACACTCCTGAGATAAATCTGATTTGTATGTTGTATTATCTTTAACACTCTCAGTTTTCAGGTCTTATCAGTGTCCGGTTCTCTGCTGCTGTCTGATCGTCCCANGCTAACAAAACCGTCTGAACAGACAGGAAGTCGAGTGTGTCGACAATGTTGTGTACATCCGGTTACAGAATAAAACTGTTATTAATTTTACGTTAGGCCACATATGGGCTATATACATTTGTATTCCTTAACGTTAGCATGTTAGCATTGCCATTGTGAGTATTTAGACACGCTATGGCTGCTTTTTTGATCCATTTTTCCTTCAAATTTGTTATTATTTACATTGCTTTTAAAATCGTTCTGTGACACGAAAAAAATGCGAAAATCGTGTTGGTGAACACGAATCAATATATTAATTTCGTGACTATAACACGAAATGCCGTGAGACTGTGTTGCTATGGTAAAAATTGCATTTGCCAAACATTAGCATGTTAGCATTGCCATTGTTAGCATCTAGGCACACTGTAGCCGCAGCCTTACAGATGGCTTTGCTTGGCTGTAGACTCATTAGCTTCATCTGATTCCTCTTATTTGTGATAATCTGATATAAAATCACCTTTGTACATCTGTAAATGTGCTAGTGTTTAAATAAACTGCTTCACCTGTTAGCATGAAGAACATTTAATGACAGGTCGTGAAATAGCTTTATCCCTAATCCCTGGTTCATATTATCTTGTTGTCATACAGTACTGTCCAGGTGTTTCCCTGCACTTGATCTCTTTTAATACTGTTTATGATTGTTTGTACATGTTGTATTATCTTCAACCCTCTCTGTTTGCACTATTCTCAGGTATTATCCGTATCCAGTTCATCGTCCCAGTCTCCCCTCAGGGATCATAAAACCTTGATCTAATCTCATCTGAATCTTTTGACATCTCGTTGTGTTTTCATGACTGTGATGTTCTCCTTTTCTTCCTTCTCCTTCTCCTTCTCCTTCTTCTTCTTCTTCTTCTTCTTCTCCTTCTTCTGTCTTCCTTCCTGCCTGTCTGTCAGCCGACGAAGAGGCGACAGCAAGTCTCCACGCCGTAAACCGATCCGCCTCGGAGAGAGCGGGAGAGGATTCCTGATATGGATCTACCTCAGAAACTCAGCCAAACAAAGCCTCACCTGTTTTCACCGCCCTGCCTTGTTCCTCCTGCACCACCACACTGAAATCCACTTTGTCAGTTTGTGCATTTTCTCCTCGTGGTTTTGTTTCCGTCGGGGATTGTGGAAGCTTTGATACACAGAAATACCTGTTAGTATAGTAGTTGTCGATTCCTTTTTTCCACCAAATACCTCCACCCTCCCTCCTTCCCTCCACTCTCACCGGAACAGCAAATTACCCTTCTCCCCTCTTACATTTTGGGTGTCCCGAACCGAGGCCCCCGGGGCAGATCCCAGACATAAAAGTTAGCATTGAGGAGCCGAGTGTCCGATATCAGTTAATGTGAGATACAACTAATTAGTCCATTATCGGGCCCCTGCTCTCACCGGCTCATAAATTGGAGCCACTCAAAGGTCGTTTATTATTTATCAGAGAGGATGAGGGGGGAGGAGGGGGAGTTCTGCTCCGGTTTGCTTGTTCAACATATCAAGATTAGTTTCAACTAGCCCTGTTGGATGACTGCAGCCTGCAAACACCACACACACACACACACATTTCATCACACACACACTTCCTTGTCTCTGTCGGGCTACAGGAGCCGAAGCAGATTTCTTCAAGCAGCAAAAAACTTCAGCTTATGTTACAGCAGAAAACTTGAGTTCAATGTAAACATGTTATTGATGAATTAATAATGTGTAATAAATGTTGCACAACAGCTCGTTCCAGGAGTGTGTGTCTGGTCTGATGTAAGAGCTTTATGACCTTATGACCTGTATTTGAACATACTATAATATGTCGTTTTTTTCCAAAATGTTCAACATACTATACCATGACTTTTTTCAACATACTATAATAAATCGTTTTCATTTTTTATTTTTGACATACTATACTATGAATATTTCCAAAAATGTTTGACATACTACGACTTTCCTTTAACATATTATACAATGACTTCTTCCTAAATGTTTGAAATATGTGTTTTTTTTCAACATTTTTGACAAACTATGGCTTTTTACATCATACTGTACTTTGCCTTTTTTACATTTTTACGACTTTTTCTCGACAAACTATAGCACTACACACTTTAACATACTATGACATTTTCTACATACTATAGAGAGGCGAAGTCCCTCCCCTTCCGGTGGGACTCATGGGATCTTATTTCGGAAAAAGTATGTATTGAAGTCAATGGAGAGAGAAAGATTATCTTTCCATCCCGATTGAATTGTGCCACGAATTACACATATGATGTTTGTCAATCTTAAATAATAATTTCCATGTCACAAAAGTCACAGTTTGTC